TTTCACTGAGCACCATTCTCATGTGAACCCAACCCTATATATATATATATATATATGAATTTGGAAATATTTCAACCCGTGCAGATGTAGTGTATGCCTCTGGGAACATTTCAACTTACTGCAATCATTAAAAATTTTCGTTGTTGGATCAACACGCATGCGGATGTGTGAGTTCATCTAACGGCAAAACTGAGATGTATGCATTGCAGTAACCGATATGGTTGAACCCTCCATGCCTCGGAAATTGAAAGTTCGGTTTTGAGTAGTTTTGATTATAAATAACATAATAATACGATCCATACATTTATCCGAAAGGGCTATTATTATTTAAAATGAGGATGTGACGAGATTTGAAGATTAATGCACCATTTGCAAAAACTGAATCGAATTAATTAACCTCAAGCCGAAAATATGAGTTGACCATTTGGCTATCTCTAAACCGAATCGTACTGATTTTTTTTTTTTTTGATACACTTAAGGAGATTTATATAATATCCGTATCGAAAATTACCAAACAGGTGAACCGAGTAAGAACTGACTAGTACAGAGCCCGTGCGATGCACGAGGTACACAATTTTAAGGTTATTTATCCAGCCTTATAATTATATAAATGAACAAAAAAAATGTATAGAATATATATAGTACGTGACCGGTGCGAGACACAGAATATATTTATTTATGGAATATTATATTATAAGATACAATATTCAATCAAAGTTTTATAGTACGCAGGAAAATTATACAATAAAATAGTATCTGACAAAAAAAAATCATATATTATTAAAGACCTCCTTGTACATAGATATTAAATAATTTATTAGCAAAATAGTGTATAAGTTGATTACAGTAACAAAACAACATGCTCACGAGATTAGTAAAATATTCCATGGATTGAAGATTTAATGGGATTAAACATTTAAATGAATTAACTTAGATAATTCAAAAGCCTTCCAACATTGTTTTGACTTTAATATATTACAATATGTGTATACTTTAAATATATTAATATTTAAGGAACTTTAAACAACATAATTTTTAAAAAAAATATCTTAGGGAACTTGAAACAGCAAATTTATGTCACTCATAAAACAGATTATATTTCAACATCATAGTTATAGTATTATTTAAGGAACTTGAAACAGCATTGTTAAATATTTACGTCCACCCATAAATTTTTTACAAGTCGGAGGTAATTAATCCCGTTTCTTTTTTATTTGTTTGTTTGTTCAATTTTTTTGACAAAACTGATATCATGGATAAAAAAATTTAATATTAAATAAATTAATTAAATAATATAAAATAATATGCTTTAGACAGATATAGGATGCGTATAATCTTTTCATACCAAACAACGTGATTTCAAAATTGAATCAGATCCAACAACCCTATCCAATATTTCATATAAATAAATATTAAATAAAATGCTTTAAATAGAAATTAGATAAGGAATTTTTAATCTGCCTTTTTTTAGTATAAATAGGTTTTATGTACATTTTTTGACTTCACTGATTATGGGATTTGTTTTGACTAAATCGATGTTATTCTGGAATAAGACAAATAAATAAAGTCTTTTTTATTTTAGTAAAGATTTTACGTACGTTTTTTTTTACTTATCGGATGTTATGATAATTTTTTTTCTTAA